GTATTTTGTGAACGCGAAGCATTGTACGGGGTTTACACGAGCAATTATCAAGACCGCCATAAAGCCCAATTGTTTGATTTGAGCAAAGGAAAGTAAAAAGTGGCCCAAGTTATACAAGGGCCCAATATTGATACGTGGAGAGAGAGGATTTGAAAGGGTTGGACCCATATTTTAATTGGGAGATTTTTATTTGTGGACTCTACTCATGCATTACGGGGAGGAGAGATTTTGTTAAGTCAACCACCAATCATTATTTAAGGGATTTTATTTGGATCCCCTTGACCATTCACGCAAGAGCAAAAAGACGCCGACTTGGAGCAGAGAAAACAGAATAAGAGCTACCGCAAACAAAAAGGCAGACGAGAAGCCCGATCAATTGCGGAGGGAGGCCGCACCCGTACACGAGGGAGATAATTAATCTCTCTCTTTTATTTATTTTTTCTTTTTATTTATTATGTTAGAGTAGTTTTTATTTCTAGTTCCGGGGAAGTCGAACCCTACGATTGACTATGTTTTGATTGATTTTTACGGTTGAGGATTTTAATATCTTTTTGGAATTGTTTGTGTTATTTTGAATAATTCACCATGATGTGTTAGTCTTATTTAGATTGATCACCTAGATTAAGCTTTTCATATCTACATCTGAGTTAGACCTGCAATCCGTAATTGTTGTTGTGTTTAATTCATAAGAGGTAACCGGAAGATGGTAACTACCGGGGATAACATGGTCTAATTAAGTGAACGAACGCGGTTGAGTTCACTACTTAGTCTAGCCTATTTTTCTAATTCGTAAAGCGGCTAATTGTATTAAATCTTGAAAAGGACTGTACAAGAAGTCAGGTTTAATCGTAGAGCGTCTCACGGTTAAATTAAAATTAAGGAAAAATTCGGGTAACAGACCGTGTCGTTGCCTAGGGCTAGTAATTCATAAGATAGCAAGATTTGATACCAGAATTGATTAGACGAGTCAGTCGATGGTGTAGACGGAACCGTGAACTAGAAACTTCTCTTTATTTATTCTATTTTATTTTATATTTCCTTTGTTTATTAGGATTTTTAATAAGTTTAGTTTTTAAACCAATCCCCCTCAGTTATCGCTTTTTATAGTTTCAATTAATACGAGAAAATTCACGATTTGATTCACACTCCTCGTGGGATCGACCCTTGCTCGCCACTACTACTAGTTAGTAGGGGTTAGTTGAGGAAAAATATAAATATTAATTTTGACGCGTTGCGACGCGTGGTCAATTCACAAAAATTAAAGAAATCAAGAAGCCGTCATACCTTTTCAACAAAAATACATATTGATAATTATCATACTTTTATTTGTATTTTTCTTAAAGAATATGACATTTCAGAATGAAACTATACACATTTATTAAAAAATTATGACTGCTTAACAACAACCTTACTGGAAAAAAAAAACATTACTGATTGATTAATAAGGTTTATATTGGAAAAATTTTGATTACTATAAAAGTTGCATGATCAATATTTAATAAACGAGATTTAGGTACTAAAAAACATTGGCACATTTTGTAGTAAATATTAGAAAATATAAATATGACTTATGGAGATTTAATGTAAAAGAGATAACTACCTAAAATAATAAAATTGGTACATTTTGCAGTAAATGTTAGAAAATATGTATATGGAATATGGAGTTGTGAATAATACCAAAGAGAAGAGTGAAGGACCAAACTCTAGTTGCACATCCCAATTTTCCTCAAAATATCCAGTATGCATTCATAACATTCGCAAGAAGTTGGGTATTTATAACCGAAAAAAGACACAACAATAAACTAATTAATTAATCAAAGGCATCCAAAAAAAATGTGGTCACGGGCACACTCCTACATGTGTACAAAATTAAGTGTTGCCAAGTCAAAGTCAAACACAAAAATTTATTCATCTATACTAGTACGTAACCCGTGCGATGCACGGGATGTAAAATTTGGAAGAATAATATAATATCACGTGTATTAGGATCGAAATTGAAATCATTAAAATACATAGGAACATTGTTGAATCATAAAAAGTTCGGTAACAATCATAAATTATTAAAAATCTCATTGTACACAACATTATGAGTTTGATTATTTGGTAACTCCTCATTATCACAAACTAATATTTTCAACCCCTTTCTATTATTTACACGCGAAGCAACAACATATAATTGGCCGTGATTAAAAACGGGTTTCTTCAGAAAAAGACCAACGTGCGATAAAAAAAGAGTTTTTAAAAAAGAGTTTTTAAAAATTGAAAAGTCAAGGCAATCAGTTCAGACTAATTAAATGTCAAAGATTATCTGCTCCTTGAAATAAAGACGTGTGCTATCATTAACCAAATATCCGGTTATTGATATAGAGTGGTTACCAAAAAATAGAACGCGATAAGGACGCTTCATGGAAATATCAATGGGATAAGGTCATAACAGATCGCTATAAATTTAACGATAAAAGCTCATATGGAATGATTTAATTAGATATGTGAAAAGGACATAATTAATGAGAAGTGTGAAAAGGACAAAAACTTACCAGTTTTAGAAAATATTTAATGCAAATCCGACATTGACCTAGATTTGACCTATTTATTTTGGATAAATATTAATTCTTATTATATAAGTATAGATATACATAATAAGAATTACCATTTACCATAAATAATAGTAAGAAAAGTCAAACAATATTTATTATGCAATTTTTTATTTTACATTTTAATTTTAATTCATTCTCAAAAAATCGGATGGTTCCTAAATTAATGGGTTTTAGATGCACGTGTCCTGTTTCAAAAATTATAAATCATTTAAAAATCAGACGGTTCCTAAATTGATAGTTATCAAAGTTGTAATAAAATCATTTTAATTATATATATTCTAATCCAAAAATTCAATCATGTTAAATAACAGAAAATAAACTCAATCTAAATCATTTTAAATATAAATATGCGATTTGAAATATTCAATCAAGTTAAATAACATAAAATAAACTCAGCCTAATAACTCCAACAGTTAATTATTTAGAATATGTAAACATCAATAGTGAATGGATTGTAACTATTTTAAACACATGCAATTTAGAATAGTATTCACGTATTTTTTAAGCAAAAGATAACGTGCATATAATTTTTTGCAAATATATATAATTCCTTCAAATTGATTATGATGAAAACACGGACATTCGGATTGTCATTCAAACATATTACTCTAAATAAGAGTTTGGTATGATGACAACCCTAAAAATCGTACAATCCAATTGTCAATCTAACAGAAAAGTATTATTTATTTGTTTTCTATAATAAATTCGATAGTTACAATCTATATATAATATAAAATAAGAATAGACTTAAAATCAAATTTATTAACAATATATATATATATATATATATATATATAGGAGTTGGTTCAAATAAAACTAGTCCTCGTGTGAGAACCGTGTTTGATGCTATTTTTAATTTTGTATGATGCTATTTTTTCATATTAGATGATGCTATCATCTTTACAAATGCTAACAGAAATTGTGTTACTAATTTTAATATAATTCAACGTGGTTAAAAAAAGCACCAAACATAATCAATCATAGCACTACGCACAATTAAAAATAGCGGTTCTTACGGTTCTCACATTAAGACTTGGTTCTCATTTGAACCACATCCTATATATATATATATATATATATATATATATATATATATATATATATATATATATATATATATATATATATATATATATATATATATATATATATATATATATATATATATATATATATATATATATATATATATATATATATATATATATATATATATATATATATATATATATATATATATATATATATATATATATATATATATATATATATATATATATATATATATATATATATATATATATATATATATATATATATATATATATATATATATATATATATATATATATATATATATATATATATATATATATATATATATATATATATATATATATATATATATATATATATATATATATATATATATATATATATATATATATAAAGTAAGATTAGACTTAAATCAAATTTATTAATCTTTTTCCGTCATTATGCATTAATTACATCCTAATTATAGTATTTTTAGACAATTCGGGATCTTAAATATCAGAGCATTAATTGTAATCAGTTTATGGAATCAACTGATTTAATAGTTTATGGATGCATTTCCCGGTTTTAATGGAATCAAACATGTTTGTAATATACTAATATAAATCTGCCCAAAAATAGAGTGCAATCAATTTTAATTCCCTTAAGAACCGGATTTACGTGTCAAATACCTTTTACTTTAATATAGCAGTATCCTAATAAAACCGTGTGTTCATAGAATTTAATAATTTAATAATATAATAATATTAATATGCTGAAAAAAAATAGAGAGATACTAAATAATTTAATAATATATTAATATAACATTGCCGATTTAATGAGAGTAGGCCTTTCACGATTAATAAAACATTAGTATAATTAAATATACAAATTTCATATTAACAAATAGTATTTTACTTTTTTTCGTAATTAAGATGTAAAACTACTTTTTAATAAAACTAATAGATTTCCTTATCTATATGTATTTGATTATTTGTATTCCATTAGTCTGAATATATTGTTCATATATAGATATAAAATATTATAGTGTACTCATATTGTTCATATGTATTTGGATTGAACCTACCCAACTACAGTCTATACTCACAGTTCCATTTTCAAGAGTTTTGAAGATAAAAAATCAGGGGAAAACAGAACAAATTTCAATGTAAATAACAATAGCACGCCTGCCTGTACAACGTACAGAAACGAAGATTACATATCATCCATCTTTTCATCCTCAACAAACTGTGTAACTAAATTTGACCCAAATCTGATGAACTAGGCAATGAACGAGTGCAAAAAAAATTGAGAATAAAGATCACTGTTTTCCAAAAGCATGGCCAAAGGCCTTTCAAGAAAGACACAAACTCAATCCTCTTTGTCTCTGGCTTCGGTCTGAGAGGCAGAGGTCCTTCTATCTTCAGCCGTGACCCGAGTGTCGACAGTTTGAGGTTCATCTTTCACTGTTGCCAAGATCAGTATCATCACCAGCAGAACAAATAGGAAAATGAGAAAAATCTTGACAGCAAAATTCGAGGCTATGAATTCCATCAAGCTTGGGCCTGAGATGCGTTTTTGAATCACACTTCCTTCTCTGTAGCCTTCTAGAAATTTCGAGACTTGGTTGCCCATGTCGGCTTCATCTATGCTATCTGAACCAATAACCTGTACAAACAAAAAGAAAAGAACATTTGTCAGAAACTTAAGTAAAAGTAACTGTAGACAAACGAAAAAGGGGATAAGAAAATAAGGTTTTTTAGCTTCGAGGAGAAAAATAAATATTTTTCACCTAAAAAGCTAATATTGCCTTTTCCTTTCTATTAATTCAATAAACAGAGCTAGTCAACAACATAGACTTTACAGCAGAATCCAATAATACCCATGAAATATCCAACATTAGAACTTAACTCAGGTAGGAACGTTTATATCAAACATTTTGTCATACATGTTGCCAAGAAAAAACTAGCACAATCACAAAAAAAACATTTCCTCAAAAGCGCTGACAATACCGAAACCTTCGCCATGTACCAAAACAAATTTCTTCTGTCTTGATATTTCCAAGAACTCAGGCAACTATAAAAAAAGATATAAGGTGTTATTATATAACAAGTTAACACTATTTCATGAACATTAATTCATTATAACAGTGGTCCATAAATGGAACATTATCAGGGCTGTTGAAAAATTGAATTCAGCCAAAAATAAGAAATCGAAAGACGGGGTTTGATGCATTTCAAGTCATATTCAGAAGTGAATGACACAAAGCTTCGTGATATTTATACTCTCTTCATTTACTGACAAAAACGAGAAACCAAATCAGTGATAAACACGAAACAGAAAGATTGAAAAAGTTAAATATCACTTGACATTCAAAATGCAAGACGAGTAATAAGAAGAAAAAAGATCGGAAAACCTCAAGGGCATCTGATATCCCCGGAATTGCTGGGTAAAATCGAGATTCCACTGCAGATATAAATACGAGAACATTAATAACCATCTAAACAAATACGTGTTCACAATGGTTTCAAGTTGCAAATTCTTAAAAACTTGCCTTCTCTCTCAACGAATAACAAAACGGCGGCAAAGAAAGGGAACTCATTGACCAGCGGTTTGAATATCAACCTGAAAATGAGCAGTGACAGCAGCACATCAAAAGTACATGAAAAAAGGCAAAAAAAGAAAAGAAAAAGAAAATATATGAATTCTTCCTGTCTGAAACCCCACTAATCGTCGTCCCCCTGCACCACGTTGACCACCTCTTCACATCCTCCAGCTCCACCCGTGAGTCCCTCTGGGCCAGAACCATCGCCTCTCGGAAACCCTCAGCTCCGTATTCTCCGGCCTCTCAATGAGCAGCAGTGAGTACTTCACTCGCATTGGGGTCGGCACCCCGGCCAAGCCCTTCCACATGATCCTCGACACCGGCAGCGACCTCACCTGCAAAAGCTGCTACCACTATCTTTATCAATCTTTTGCGCAATCACCACACACATGATAAAAATAAAAATTGAGGGGCATAGGATTTGAAGAGGACATACTGCAGCAATAGATGGAACATCCACTTTGCCAATTGCACTGAGTGTTCCTTTAATATCATGCCTTTGCCAGTAGTTAAAGACTACCTGAAAAACGGAAAACGAATAGAAATACAAGAATACCAAGAAATAAAACACTTAATCTTGATTTTATACCAATGGCAGTAATGTAACGAGATAGCCCATCAGAAGATCAGAAAGTCCATACAGTTTTTTGCATACTAAAGAAAAAAAAAAAAAGAAAAATATATTCTCATAACTAGACATGTTCTGGTTTCTGTTTTTGCATCAAAACTTTGTATTAGCAAAACTCTTCTATCACTCTTCAGCACGGCTAGCAGCATCTCCCTCGCCGCCAGCAGCATCTCCCTCGCCGCCAGCACGGTCATCGGCATCTTCCTCAAGAAAACGAGGAGCTGGGGGGAGGCCAGTCCTGTGGAAGACGTTTTCTTCAGCCACGTCACCGAGGAGAACAGCCTCCGCCAATCCCCGCCCCGGTTCCCTCTCGAGAACATTTTCCCTGAACCTAGCCACAAGTACCCTAGCAGCAACCGTGTCAGTGTGTTGAGAAATGTCTCAACCTCGCCGTTGTAAATAGCTGAAAGTCCTACACCCAACAAAATGGAATTCGCCATTTGGATGGCAAAATTCCAGATAAAACCTGACAGCGCTGCTTCTTCTCCATCCACCAAATGAAGATGTGGGCATTCAGAAAGGATGTTCAGAAGCCTCAATGTTGTCTCGGGATCCAGATTGCGAGCGAGCTTGACTACGGTGCGACGCGGCGCCAGTAGCCGGCCCAATTCCACCGCCAATCTCGCANCCTTGCTTACAAACATGGAAGCAAGTGGGAAAAGGGGAGAAACAGCCCCACAGAAACAGAACATACACTCCATCTTCAACAATGCAAAACAAATTCAGTGGCCGAGGAATAAACTAAACAGAAACTTACATTTGCTGCAGACAAGGTTTGAAGCCAAGGAAACAACCGCAGTAGCTTGGACACCAGGAAAAAACCAACAAAGAAAGCCTGAAAGAGAGAACACCTTTTATTCCTAGAAAAACTAATATTTTAGTATTTTAATATTTTTGCAATTAAAATTAATATTCCATTGAGTGTGATTGCAATTCTAACAAAATAAGCCACCTATATTATATTTTTAACATTAGAATTAAAAATATAGTGTTGTGAATCTAATTAATATTTTCAGTGTTGTAATCCAACCGAAGGAGCCGAGCTTAGGCATTTCGAGTTCGTGTTTGTTTATGTGTGTCCGTTCAATAATTGTTCGAGTAAAAAATCGGACAACTTATTTAGTATTTTAGTGTTGTAATCAAACCAAACGAGTCGGGATTAAGCATTTCAAGCTCGTTTTCGTTCATTTATTTTTCGAGCAACAATAAATGTTGGAGTTGTCGTCAAAGTTCAAAAACAAACTTTTGTTGGAACTCCATAAAAATAAATAGACAAAAATAAAAACAAAAATATATTTACATTATTATATAGATTATGATGATATGGGGGAGCAGTGAGTGGCTAGACTGGCACAGGACTAGTGCGCAGACTTCTGAGTGTTTGTGTGTGTGTGTGTGTGTGAGAGAGAGAGAGTTTAGAACATGCAATTTTATTGTCCACACAATGCAGGACAAATCTGCAGATCACGCACATAGTGTCCTATGTCCCGCCCTTTGCCATATTCCGCTTCTATCGGCCCTTTTCCGGTCACTAGAAACAATCCCAAAGTTATACCTATAATACACGTGGCTTTTTTCAGTCAATAACCCTTCTCTGCCAGAAGAAAATATAACATAAAAGTCAATGCAAAAAGCCTACAGTTTACAGCCACACCAAAATCGGCAATCTTAGCTTTGTAATCCTCGTCGAGCAAAATGTTGGTCGATTTTATATCCCTATGGATGATGGGCGGGCTGCAGTCGTGATGCAAATACGCGAGCCCTTTTGCAGCGCCAAGCCCGATTTTATACCTCCGGTTGACCGAACTTTATCTCACCTCGTAAGGCTCGGAAAAAGTTCCCGTTCGCCAAAAACCAAACAATGCGAATACCCTCTCGTTAAACAAGCGTAAAGTTTCAGTATTTTTGTTACCGCATAAATCTCGACACGTCCTGTTGTACTCGACAGGTTCAGCGCGTTCATTCTCGAAAAAGCGCGCAGGATTTTTCCGGTCAGAGCATAGCATTCGAGGCAAGGTTCAACTTAGGCCGCAAACGAGATTAGATTACACATCTCTCCAAAACCATTATTCCGAAAGACGGTTAGCCTCGTGAGATTCCCCGTCCTATAAAGAATCTCACCCGACATTCGGTTAACCGTCGGGCAATCGTCCCCGTTAGATTGTTCCGGTAGAGCTCGAAAGCTCTTCAATTTCCCGATCGACCGGCCGGAGATTTCGCTCCGGCATATATCCAGCGTGCATAATAATGCTTCGAGCTCGAATATAGACTCGGGTATTTCGCCCCTCAAGTTAGAGCAGATAGCGTTCAACTTCTTCAGACTCCCGATATTCTCCGCTGTTATCGCCCAAGCTCAGCCACGTCAGCGCAGTCAAGTTCCCGAGCCATTCCCCGGAAAACTCGTTATTACAGGGAAGCGGACCCTCGAGCCAGTTCCCGCTGACACTCAGCCAGGTGCATTCAGCGTAATTCACCGGAAAATTCGTTTCCAATGGCCAGCAACTTCTGCAAGCTCCCCTTCCGGCAGAGGTACTCTGATCGAGAACCTATTCTCCGATATGTCGATGGTGTCCAGCGGCGAGAAACGGCCAAGATCCCGAGGCGCGGGGCCCGTGAACCCGTTCATGAGGCTGCAAACGAGATTAGATTACGCATCTCCCCAAAACCGGCCGGAAAAATCGTTCTGAAAGACGGTTAGCCTCGTAAGATTCCCCATCCTATGAGGAACATTTGGTTTACCGAAACATCGAAAAGGGTCAGCTCATCGGGCATCCGTCACGTTAGATTGTTGATCTTGAACAAGTTCTTCACCTCTGCACCAAATGAATAAGGTCACATTATATAAATAATATATATATATATATATATATATATAAATTAGTTTTATTTGCAGAAGCTAACCAAAAATGATTTTGGTTTCCAAGGTGCAAGCTTGCAATAGTCAAAAGGAAAGCAACTCAGAAAATGAGACAATGTTGAGATGTCAATTGGAACTTAGCTGTTAATTTGCACAATCTGTCTATCTTTTAAGCAACACAAATGAGATAAGAGATAAGAACTTGCAAGGAACTATTTTGAATCTTTGTCTTTTCACTAGCTAACCCGAGAATGAGAAATTTGACAAACAAAAGAACAAGAGAGTGTGTTCTTTTAAACAAGTTTCAATACAAGAAAGTATCTCTATAGTTATTCAATTTATGCATGCAAATGTTAAGTTTTTAACAACTGATCAAAGAAGTAAAAAAGGCTTGTTCAATTTCAAACTGTGTGATTTCTTGAAAAAAAACACACACACTCACACAGAGAAACTGAAGATTTCTTGGTCAGAAATGAAAGCAGGAAATGAATCCCAATTACCTCAAGTTTCGATGAGTGCTCCAATTTTCGGAATTTTATCCAAACAGATTTCCAACTTCTTCAGATAGCTCAAAAGCAGCTTCTTGATCTCTATTCAGCTCCAACCAATCTGCACAAAAATAAGCCCAATATAGGGATTAAGGAACAAGAATCCTTCAAATAAAACACAAACAGAGAACTAACAAAAGGAGTTAGAAATAAACACTCACTCACCCTATGTTGGAAACTTATGTTTAAAATAAATATATAGTGTTCGTTTTTTTTTTTCTTCCTTATATATAAGTTCTTCTTATTACTGTTTAATAAATATATAGCAAAAGTAATTTCAAATTTATTAGTGTTCGTTTTTTTGTCTTTATTCAAAAGTAATCATTTTTATTTTCTCACTTTTAATTGTTTTGGGCTTTATATTTGATTTGGGCTATATCTAACTTCTTAGATAGTGTGAACTGACCCTATGTTTTGTTGTATAAGGCCACTTCTGTTTCAAACGCTGGGCCTTCTTAATGGTCGGTTTAACCCATGCACAGGGAAATTAGGACATGGAATTTCATTCGAAATATACAAAAATAAAAAAATACCTTTCCCCATTTCATTATAAACTAGCTCACAACCGGTGCTTGCGCGATAAAACAATATACACTATGATTATAATATTACATGGCGGGATATACGTTATTAGCATAACACATAGACATTAGAATAAAACACAACCACATGTATGTCTACATATTTAAAAATGAAATTAAAAACACAATCATTTGCTTTTGAAAAAACTACATTGTCAACATCTTGCAGGATAGCAAAATTACAGAACTCAAAATAAAACGTTGAGAAATTGGTAGGATATTCCAAATCCTTGGTCTTCCATGAATAATGAGTTTGAAACTTTATGATGATAGATCGTATTTATCATTGTTACTTTTTAAGTGGTAATTGTGAATGACATATGCTTCACTGTCTTCAAACTTGTCACCCATCTTTGAATCTTAACGCCACAAATTCATCCATTTATGCGGCCATCCTATAAAAATCGAATACAAAATAAAATTTTTAAAAAATAAAATAATACAATACATATTGACAACTACTATTAAATCACATCATGAAGAATACTAACTCACTATCGTGAAAAACTATTTTCAAATAACTTCGGTGAGAGGTATTAGACGTCATATTAAAGATGCTGCCGGAGGTTTCAAGATGAACCTCGTATTTGTTTTAAGATTCTTGATGAGACCAAAATGTTGATCCATGACTTTTATTTTGAACGTGCGATTGTTTTTTTATTATTATGAGTATTACATTCCATTTGACCGTGGATGTGAGCTTATTTGTATATGATTTTTTGTTGCATATATTTGCACTTATTTTCGTAATTTTTAAAATGTGGATTTACATAATATAAACTTATTACTTGATTTTTTCTTTTTTATTTTGCCGATCTTGGTAGAAATAAGATCATGTCCCAAGAATACACAAAGACTTAATTTTTATTTTTATTTTGGTGGTTATAAAAATTATTCCAGTAATATTATATTCTAATCTCTTAAATATATATTTTTTTAAAATGGTAAAAATGAATGTTAGGATATATATATATATATATATATATATATATATATATATTATGATGTCTAACTGCTTCTGATGGTTCTGATTTCAGAATCGTGATGTACAGTCTCATTAAATTTATTATGAAAATTATAGTTATTATATTAAGTAAATATATGTAAACAATCGACAACAAAATAGTTTATAGTTAATATTTATTTATAAGTTAAACTAATTCAATATTTTATATTTTTTTTAATTTGGACAAAGAATACAAATCATTTTGTAGCAAAATATTATAAAAGCTCCAATATCGACCGCCCTTCCATTGTATCCAGATCATGTAAATACCCATTTTCAAAAACAAAGTTATCTCTCTTATTTATCTACCCTCCAATAATCTATATCTATATATATAATTGCTGGCAGAGCAATAAATAAAACCTAATTAATAAAACCTTCATAATTTTCCCGCTCATTTTTTCAATTAGCGTAGAAACGTTACATCTTTTATTCATAAAGTGTAATAATAATTTTCCCTCTTGGCCGGCCCGCTAAAGCACGTGACCCCCGTGAGCTGGACCGTTTAGGTCCACTCCTCGGGAGTCGGTTTTGACAAGTCTATAGTCTCCGTGCGCATTCACGACTTCGAGACGAAAGAAGGCATTATTCTCTTGTTTTTTCTTATTACATCCAAGAAATAAAGAAATGTTCCCAGAAATGGTAAAATAGAAGCCAATGTACAAACAATTACGCATAATCTATATTTCTCCCCTCAATTTGAAAAAAAAAATGATAAAAGCCTAACACAACACGATTCACTAAAAAGAAAGTCTTGGTGAATTGTGATCATGCCTTGTAGTGTGCGTGGTTAAATGAATATAGAGAAACGGCTACGACTCAAAGTTAGTTCCCGAGGAGTCTATGACTGAAGTTCAGAAACCAGGTTCTCAAATGAAAAGGTAGCAACTTTCAAAGAAAAGGCTAAACTCAAATGGCTATTTCTACAATCATGCATCCAAATTTCATCATCAAAGGAGTAAAACGAAAGCGTGCATAAGAAAGCGAATAGTAATAATAATAATAATAATAATAATAATTAGTATAACAAACAATCAAATATGCTACTTAGTGAATGCTAATAGATTCGAATCTCACCATTAACATGAGGTATAAGTGTTACATCTCATGTCTGTCAAATAACAATGAAGAATAAACATCACCTAGTTGTACCAGGACACCAAAAAAATTTATCCAATGCAATAAAATCAATTTTAATGGGAATACAATAATTTAGAATCGGTAGTAATTAAAAAAAAAAAAAAATATCATGAAAATCTTAGAAAAGAAGTGCAACATAAGCTAGCAAATCATCACCCAAACCACATTATATACTAACTCTAAAAAGACACCCCACATTCAAAAACAGGCAATGTTTAATTTTTACATTAAACAACGTAATGTTAAAACTTGAACAAATATATGATGCGTGGACCGATTCTATTCAAAAACTTGAATAAAAATGACAGAATATTTTAAACAACATATAAATACCTCTTGTAAGAAATAGTGTAAGCTAGACAAGCTGGCCTCTAGTATTTTGCTGCATTTGCACTTGGTAAGTTAGCCTTTAATCAAGGACAACGACTATCATAATCAGTCTGGCATTTCGACCAAGTATCATCGTAGGCAGGAAAATGTCGAATAGTTACTCGTGCGGTCTCCGAAAGAGCTCGGCCTTGCAACTGTTGGCGGATGTTTTCCCGTGTCTGTTGACACCACCGAGGCTTGTCAGAGTGCCACTTGGGACACCGGCTTATCTGCATTTGCTCCAGACAGGTTGCATTTTCAAGGATGTACAACGCAAACTCGATTTCGTTTATAGATCCACAAAATCCTGTTATTTCCACTTTTTTCAAGTGTGAATGAGTTTCTGCTGTCGGTGGTCTCATTGCTTAGGACCATCAGTTTCCACAGATTCAGTCTGCATAAAGGAACATAGTTAATTTGTTGCTAGTGTTTGTATATATTACACCCTATTTTTGGAAGGGAAAAAGTATTTGTATGAGAAACTTACATCCAAGTGAAACTCGAGTAAGCGCGGGCAAGTCCGAAGAAGTGGAATTATCCCCAGAAGCATAGTTGTGTAGGCTGTATGAGAAAACCGCAACCTTAATTGTCTAAGGTTACTATTTGTGTTAGTCCGAGCAAGCTTGCTAACCTGAGAATCAAGAATGCGAATTTAAGACCTGGAATTTATCTAGAAGAGAACAAGTTGTTTTATTCTCGATCGTACCAAATGAATAACATGTTTACTGATATCGTATTTGTTAACCAAAGCTAACGAGTTGAGCTGATTGGTAGGCAATTCAGAGGGAAGTCTAACACAAACATGATACATAACGTCTTGTTGAAAGACATCATAATACATGCTCTGCAGCCGAGGGACATGGTCGAATATGAGCTCGACTACTTTACTGTGGCTCTGGAACTCAAAGGTAACAAGATTGTTGGCACACAGCTTGATCTCCTGCACCCCTCTGCACTCCTCGATGTTGAGATGCTCCAGTCGAAGGTTGGGCCCACGTATATGCAATTTCGAACAACGAAACTCACAGTAATCCATCCTCAATGAGCAGAGGCCCAAACAAGCCGACAGGATGAGGTCTAGTGCCCCGTCGAGTAGAGTAACTTTACTCAACCTCAGATTCCGGAGGGACATATTAGTATGCAATTTGGGCAAGCACGGCCAGGTGTAGATCGATTTAAACTCCAAGTACCGCAAGCGGGGCATACAGGAAAGAAGGTGGACCCAAGAAAACGAATAACGGCAGCAGGGCTGTGCCGAACAACAACATTGAACAACAAGTTTCTTAATGCCGGCTGTGTTATCTAGATATTTAAGGAATGCCCGGAATCCTCCCATGTATGGAAAGGGGTAGCGGTATGATTTGATCAGACAACAACAGAAAACAAGACTATGGATTTTAGAACCACGTCGGGAGTCGAAATACTTTGAGGATATGTGATGGATATCGATCGCGCTCGATTTAAAAAGGCGACGAGTGATGAAGCTGATGTCTACATTGTAATGGCGATACACATATCCTTGGACCATATCAAATCTATAACGGTCATCATCGAGGTGATGGCAGTGGAGGTTGAGGTGGACGACAAATTTGTAAAGGGTCGTCCACCGTTTGGACAAGACGCTGGTCCGAATAGCATCCTTGACCGGCAGGAGCGTGAGGATGGAGATCAGGACACAATCCGGTAGTTCACCGATTGCGTTGTGATGATGACGAATCTGTACATGCTTTCTTCTTCTTCTTCTTGATGATGAGAGTCTGTAGGCCAAGAGCGTGAGCCATGCTGACAAAACTATGGGTGCAATACAGATTTTCATGGCTAACAGGAAAAGTTAGAGGAGAGTTTGAAGATTTCCCACCAAGTCTCTTGGTTTCGGTTATATACGCGTTTTCATAATTAAAAAATAAAATTTTATTTTATTATTGGAGAACAAGACCAAAAAATTAATTTAGCATGGGGTAACTTAACATACAATTAAACATCTATACTTATATAATAAGGTGTACCATTTACGAAATTTAGTAAGTTGAAAAGTCAATGCAATAAATGCATTACTATTTTGAGCAACATAATATAATATCATATTTATATTTATATAAAAGGAGATTCTATTTACTACATTTACTATCCAGAAAAATCAAACTGCATTAAATGTTATTACTATTTTGGTATTATAATATTTTATTTATTTAATTAATTTATTTATTTGTTTTATTTATTTATTTTATTTTAAAAAGGTAAGTATAATAAAAAGATTTTAATAATAAAAAAATCAAATACCAAATAAAAATGTACACTTTGACTTATTTGATTATATTTGGTATTTGATTATAATATATTCCTATTTAGTATATACATTAAATACTTACTGAAGTATTTATTTGTTTTATTTGTAAAAGTTGAGTATAGATTTGTTTATATTATCAAATCATAAAAAAATATTAAATCCATATTGTAAAAAAAAATTATATAATTTTATAACAATTCTACTACACTATTTAACAATATTTCTTTTTTATTATATAATAAAATAATAATTAAATATTATATGGTGAACAACAATAAGTAAAACTGTTACTTTCTCTTATATCAAGGGATAAATTTATATGCTAAAAAATTATTTTTTTATTAATATAAATATTTTAGTGAGATAATATATTAATTATTTTATAAGCTAGCCCTAACATGCTCATATTTAATGTTTTAAAAGATGTAGAAAAAAACTTATAATAACTCTATTGTTTTTTAGACTTTAACGTTGATTAAAAGAGGTAAAAATTCCTAATTATTTAGGCTTAAACGTTGATTAACACCATAGATTGAGAGTCTATATTTAGTAAAATTCCTAATTGTAATAAAAAAATTAATTTTTGCTATATTTTAGAATATCTTTAAATTCATTATTAAAAAAAAAGAAAAAAAACTACAATGAAAAAAGCAAGCTATATATCGATTTGTTGTACTTCTCAAATCACATTTACAATTTGGCTACAAGGAAAGAAAACTCATTGATTAAAATATTATTTTGTCAGTAGCCTTAATGTACAAGAGACTTTAAGACTCCACTTGAATATTATAAAACTTTTATTGAACATTGTACAATTTTCTTGCGTAATATAAACTTTTATTGAATATTGCATCTTATAATATAATATTCTCCAAATAAATATGCCCCGTGCTTCGCACGGGGCACGTAATATATATATCACGTACATTTTTCTTTATTCATGTATATAATTATAAGCCTGGATAAATAGCCTTAAAATTGTGCACCCCGTGCATCGCACGGGCTCTGTACTAGTTGTGTATTAATTAGCCAACCCTTATAATCATTCTATATATCAACCTATATTTCTTTCTAAACTTAATTAATTCAGATCATTTCATTCCCAAAATTGTTCCATAATTTAAGTAATGAGTAGATTCTTGTCCCTAAATAAATTTTGATATATAATTTATACCAAATTGGTGAATTTGGAGAAGTAAACAATTTCTTGATATATATATATATATATGTAATTGCTGGCAGGGCAATAAATAAAACCTAATTAATAAAATCTTCATAATTTTTCCGCTCATTTTTTCAATTAATGTAGAAACATTACATTTTGCATTAATAAAGTGTAATAACAATTTTAAATTAATTTATTATATAACTAGTGATATCCCGTGCGATGCACGGAGAAACTCATATTTTAAATATTTTTTAGACTTTATTTTAAATATAATTATTTATATTTTTCACATCTCGTCTATTATGAAAATAAATAAAATACAAACAATGAGAATATATATTATTAAACACTTATCTTTATACAATATTTTTTTAATGAATATTATTAAACCTTACTGTTTTGATTTTATTTTTTAAAAAATTAATTACCTCCATAAGAATAATCATACCATTTTAATTTCAAAAAAATTCGCAAGTTTGTTAGAGAGATAAATCCAGTTAGATAAATGATTAATTAGTTAAGATATTATATTAATTATATCATAAAAAATTAATTAGATAATGTAGATAAAAAATATAATATTAATTAGTTTATTAGGAATGTAATTATATGAAAATCAAGATAAATGAAATTTACCCAAAAAAAATTGTCTAGGATCTTTTTCTTTAAATGTTTGAATTTAAAAATTTAATACCGAATTTCGATTATATCACATAAGAAAAAAATAAATAAAATGTTTATTAATACATTAAAATATATAATTTTGAATTTCATATAAAGTAAAAGGTATGATAATTCAAATTTATTTTTAAAATAAAAGCTATGATAAATATTTATTGATTCTCTTTCAAATATATTAATAAAATAAAAATATAAATCTAAACAAATTTTGAAACAACCAAAAGAAATCGAATTGATTGGCAAAAAAAAGGAAGTGAAATCGGATTTGATTGGTTAACAATATTTGCACTAATATTGGTTGAAAAAGGAACTAAAATCGGATTTGATTGGTCATTGCCTATTTGGTTGGATTTGAATTAATTCTGGTTAACAAAAAAAAAATAACTAAAATCGGATTGCATTCACATCCAAATTCAAAAGATTAGAAAAAGTTAATCAGCACAATTTAATGGCATAGGCGGGAATTAAATAAAAAATAAAAAAATGTAAAAATAAAACAAAAAAAAGTAGGAAAAGACTTTTTACTTTCGGATCTTTTTCCTATTTTTTCTTAACTGTATTATATAGTAATAGATATGATTATATTGTAGTTAAGATAAAATGAAATGTATCCAAAAAATATGATTGTGATATTTTTCCTTTAAATGTTTGAATTTAAAAGTCTGATAGCCAAATTTAGATTATATCAAATAAGGAAAAAAATAAATAATAATTTTTTATTAATATATTTAACAATATAATGTGAAATTTCAAATAAACTATAAGGCGGGATAATTCAAATTTGTTTTCAAAAAGTTTATAAAGTGTTTAATATTTTGGTAAGTATATCCATAATAATAGTGAGAATCCCATGAGATCCACGAAAGTTTTGTACCTTAGAACATTTTTTCAAAACTTTATTTTAACAACATATTAGATCGTTGTACCGTTTATATCAATTAACAAATGATTACATTATTCTTCACCACTACATTAACTTCAGAACATAAATAACAAAAAAAAGAAAATACAGAAATAACCAACAATATTAACATAGGGAAAAAACTATTTTTTAAACTGATCACTCAGTACACATATACAACCAAAGATATCATAGTGAATGGACCCAATTGTTTCAAACACCGAGGATACCATAGTGAACAATAGAGGAAGCAATCAGCTGGCAAATTGTACTAATTGAATTTATCCAAAAGAGAAAGATATCATTACCAGCCCAACTTTAAACATCTGTAAAGCAAATCAAAAATTAAATAAATAGTGAAAAAAGAAAAGAAATGGAAAAGAAAAAAAATGTGACTCTGGATGAAGCTCAAAATCAAAACAATTTCATTATTACTGTCATCTTCCTCATTTTTCCCCTCTATATTATCCATCAAAAAATGTCTAAACCATCAAAATTGGGCAAAAATTGTGATCTAAAAAATCTTGTTCACAGTCAATTTCACTCAACACACGCGCACACTGTATATGTACAAAGGTAAATTTCAGGACCCTGCCCGGTGGCTCTGCACCTAACCCGCACAGCAGCTCCTCCTTCCGGATCTTCCCGTTATCCGTGTCGATCATCTCGAACGCCTGCTTGAGCTCGAGGTACACGTCGGCGGAGATCTCGGACCACTCGTCGGCGGAGCCGGAGGGGAGGACGGTGGTCGGCGTGGCCAGGCCGCCGCCGCCTTCTTTTTGTATACGTCCTCGAAAGAAGCCAAGGAAGACGTCGCCTGGGAGCTGAAAGACGGCGGATCAGCTTCAGATCTGGAAACAGATCGAGATTTTTTGGGCCTGAACAACTTATCGTGTATGATCTTGGCGAGTTTCATGGCGGAGTGTTAGTCCCTGCTCGTCTTTATTTGCAGCTAGGATGCACTGTTTGTGTAAGCAAAAATGCTTCCCGACACAAACGGACACTTTTAGGATAGAAGAAGATATTGAACAACTCAAAGTATTGATTATTCAGTTTTTGCTGTGTTTACAAATACAAAACTACATCCCTATTTATAAGAACTAAAAACAACTACCTAGTGACTTTCCTAGAAATTACTTAAGCTGAAAAATCAGCCCATAATGGCTGCTATGAAGGTGCTTTGCAGCTGCAAGGAATTTGCATTGCTATTGCAATGAAGCTGCAAGGAAACAGCAGATTATATATTTCTTACAATTCTTCCCCTAATCATGCTGCTCTTCCTTGTTTCCTATCATTCCAATCTTGGTCCTCAGCTCCATGAACCGAAGACGGCCGAGTGGCTTGGTAAGGATGTCTGCGAGCTGCCGTCCGGATTCGACAAACTCCAAAACAATATGTCCTTCATCGACACAATCCCTGATGAAGTGAAAACGGGTATCGATGTGCTTGCTCCGGTCATGGAGGACTGGATTTTTTGCAAGGGCAATGGCGGGCTGGTTGTCCACCATCAGAGCTGGTGGACGAGCTTCCTCGCCGGTCAGCTCGCCCAGCAACCTACGCAGCCAGACCGCCTGACATGCCGCTGTGGCTGCCGCCACGTACTCCGCCTCGCACGTAGACAACGCCACGATCTTCTGTTTCAACGACTGCCATGAGATTGGGGCTGATCCAAGGAAGACGAGCACACCGGAGGTGCTCTTCCGCCCATCAATGTCGCCTGCCATGTCTGCATCGCTGAAAACCGTGAGCCGCAGCCCACTTCCACCGCCGGTCTTGGGAAAGATGATGCCCTGGTCCACCGTCCCCTTGACATAGCGCAACAGCCGCTTTACCGCAGCCCAATGATCCTCTCGGGGGTCCTCCATGAAACGACTGACATAGCCCACGGCGAATGCAATATCTGGCCTCGTGTGGACTAGATAGCGTAGCCCGCCGACGATACTCCGGTAGAGTGTTGCATCCACCTTTTCCGCGGTGCTGGCTTTCGTCAGTTTCAGCCGCTCCTCCATTGGAGTCGCGCATGACTTGCAGTCAGCCATGCCGCTCCGCTCCAACAGCTTCCCCGCATACGCACGCTGGCAGAGAGTGATGGAGTCTCTCCCCTGCTTCACCTCGATGCCGAGGTAGTAGGAGAGCTGCCCGAGATCGCTCATGCGGAAACGAGCTGCCATCTCGTGCTTGAAACCGTTGATGTCCCCTTCTCGTGCCCCGGTGATGATCAAGTCATCTACATACACGCCGACGACGAGCTCCTCCTTCCCCCGTCGTCGCGTGTAGAGCGCGTGCTCAGTCTCGCAGCGCGTGAACCCAAGCGTACCCAGAGTGGCATCGAGCTTGGCGTTCCACGCTCGCGGGGCTTGTCGCAACCCATAGAGTGCCTTCCGCAGCCGTAGCACCTTGTGCTCCTTTCCCTTGACGACGAAGCCCGGGGCTTGCTTGACGAAAACAGTCTCCGCTAGCTCTCCATTTAGGAAGGCCGATTTCACGTCCAGGTGATGAATGCGCCAGTCCTTTGCTGCCGCCATGGCTAGCAGTAGGCGAACTGACTCCATGCGCGCCACTGGTGCAAAAACTTCCTCAAAGTCGATGCCCTCTCGCTGGACGAAACCGCGAGCAACGAGGCGCGCCTTGTGCTTGACTATGGCGCCACACTCGTCCCGCTTGACTTTGTAGACCCATTTGAGCCCGATTGGATGACAGCCTGGAGGTGGATCGACGAGCTCCCACGTCTCATTTTCCTCGATCGCCTTCATCTCCTCTAGCATAGCTCGTCTCCAATTGACATCTCCCTCGGCCTGCGCGAAAGTCGATGGCTCCTCTGCGCTGACGAGGAGCAGCTCCTGATCATCGAGTAATCGGCTCGCTAAGCCTGGTACCGCCGAGTTGCCAACAAGGTTGTCCATCCTGCGAAACCTCACCCCCTCGCCGTCGTGGAAGGCATCCACATACTCGTCGATGTCGCTTGGAGGAGAGGCGAACTCAACTGTCGTCGGAGATGTCCCCTGTCCTGCCGCAGTAGGGGAATGTGGTGAGGGTGTGTGTGCAGCCACTGGTGGAGATTCTTCGCCCGTGCCCGTCATGGCAGGACTTTGCGGCTCATCCGACGCCGCCACAGCTGTTGGACTTGGCGCGTCCGCAGCTGGCTCCTCTACTCCCACATCTCCTCCTCCGTGGATCACCAAATGCTCGATGACGAACGTACCGCCAACGCCACGGGCTTCCCCCGTGCCAGGATTCTCCCAATCCCAGGCCGCCATTTCGTCGAACACCACATCCCGCGAAACCACCACCTTGCCTCCACGTGGATCGTAGAGCCGATAGGCCTTGCTCCCCTCCTCGTAGCCTAGGAACACCATCGGTGTGCTCCTATCCTCAAGCTTGGACATGAAGGGCTTCGTCTTCTTCACATGGCCAATGCACCCAAACGTCCTTAGAAACGAGACGTCGGGCTGCCTACCATGCCAAGCTTCGAATGGCGTCATGCCCTTCAGGGCCTTTGTGGGCGCACGGTTGAGGATGAACACTGCCGTGCTCACAGCCTCTCCCCAGAACTCCGCTGGCATGCCCTTTGCCTTCATCATGCTTCGGGCCATGCCCACCACGGTCTGATTCCGCCGCTCCACTACACCGTTTTGCTGCGGTGAGTACGGCGCAGTGTGATGGCGCACCACCCCCTGGTTTGCACAGTACGCAGCGAATTCCACCGATGTGAACTCGCCACCGCGATCCGTCCTCAGCACGCGCAGCCGTTTCCCAGACTCTACCTCGGCTCGCGCCTGGAACCGCTTGATTGCCTCTGCTGCCTGATCCTTACTCGTCAGGAGCTGCAGCCACATGAAACGGCTACAGTCATCCACGAGCAGCAGGAAGTAGCGCCGTCCGCCATGCGTAGCCGGTGTGATCGGCCCGCAGAGGTCGCCGTGGACGAGCTCTAGGACGTCCGCCGCACGATACTTGGCCGCCTTTGGGAAGGGCAGCCGCTTCTGCTTCCCTGCCAGGCAGCTGTCGCACAGCTCGCCTGCGTGCTCGATGTGCGGGAGCCCGCGCACCATCTTCCTCAGCCGGCCGAGTGCGTCGAAGTTCAAATGGCCGAAACGAGCATGCCATAGCCATGGCTCTTCGGTGTGTCGTACTGCCAAGCACACTGGCTGCTCCACCTTCAAGTCGAGGAGGTAGAGGCGGTTCCGGGAACGCTGGACCTTGGCCAACAGCCGCTGGTCTCGGTCCCTGAGCTTTAGCACGCCGCCTTTGACAAGCACCTCACAGCCGTGCTCGTCCAACTGCCCGATGCTGACGATGCTTGAACGCAACTGCGGGATATAGTACACATCCGTCAATGCGCGGTGCTCGCCGTTCTGGCACCGGAAGATGACGTTGCCGCGACCTCGAATCTCCACCTTTGAGCCGTCTCCGAACTTCACCGTCCCCGTCACGCCGTCATCAAGCTCGGAGAAGGCCTCCTTGGAGCCGGTCATGTGGTTGCTGGCGCCGGAGTCTAGGTACCACCTCTGCTCCATGCCACCGCCCATTCGTCCAAGGTGGACTTGGGCACTTGACTCGTCGAGGTGAACGACCTGTAGTGCCTTCCCCTGCTCTGCAACCGCCGCCTTGACTTCCTCTAACTCTGGCTCAACGTCGTGCAACTTGCAGGTCGTTGCCATTAGAAGAGTTGGCTCCTCGTCGTCTACCTGCGCGAGGTGTGCCTCCCTCTTCTCCTTCTTGGGATTCTTGCAATCCCGGGCCCAGTGTCCTGTCTTCCCGCAGCGTCGACAAGTGTCCTTGTCGATCGGACGCACGTTGTCGCCGTCCTTCTTCTTCTGCGGGGCCTTGCTACGACGCTTGCCGTAGCCGCCACGGCTGGAGGAGCCTTCCCCGGGCCGCCTCTCGCGCATACGAGCTGCCCATTCTTCCTCGGTCAGCAGTAACTTGCCGCTGGTAGTTATCGTCGCCGTCTCCACACGGTCATCGACCGCCCGCAAGCGCCCAGTCACATCCTCAATCGTGAGGGTGGACATGTCGATCAACGTCTCGATGGAGAGCGCGATCTGGGCGTACTTAGGTGGCACGACACGCAAGTATTTCGCGACCGCCTCCTCGTCGGTGATGGTGACGCCGTGCGCCGCCAGTTGACTGACGAGCGACTGCAGACGGAGCGAGAAATCCTCCACTGCCTCGCCGTCGCGGAACACCAGCGCCTCATACTCCCGCCGCAGCTGCTGCGCCTTCGCCTTCTTTGCGCGATCAGACCCGATGCGCATGGCCTTGAGGGCGTCCCAAGCAGCCTTTGCGGAGTCCTTTACGCCCAGCGACTCCACGTACTCGTGAGGCACAGCGGATAGAATCGCTTCCATCGCTGCACAGTCCTCTTCTTCATCCTCGGTGCCTTCTTCAATGGCCCGCCATAGCTTACGCGCACGCAACTTGACCTTCATCAGCACCGCCCACTCGCCATAGTTTGTGCGTGTGAGGACCGGCCAGTTGGCCCCGCCAACGTCCCGTACGGTCCTGTGGATGATGACCTCCTGGCGCGGTGAAGCGTGTGCACCGCTCCCTTGCACCATCGACGCAGCATCTTGGCTTGCCATGGCTCTGATACCACTTGTTAGTCCCTGCTCGTCTTTATTTGCAGCTAGGATGCACTGTTCGTGTAAGCAAAAATGCTTCCCGACACAAACGGACACTTTTAGGATAGAAGAAGATATTGAACAACTCAAAGTATTGATTATTCAGTTTTTGCTGTGTTTACAAATACAAAACTACATCCCTATTTATAAGAACTAAAAACAACTACCTAGTGACTTTCCTAGAAATTACTTAAGCTGAAAAATCAGCCCATAATGGCTGCTATGAAGGTGCTTTGCAGCTGCAAGGAATTTGCATTGCTATTACAATGAAGCTGCAAGGAAACAGCAGATTATATATTTCTTACACGGAGATGAACGAAGGTAGAAGGAGGATGTGGAAAATTGGGGTTTGAGGGAAAGAGGGGAGGAAAGAGAGAAGTTAAATAGTACGAGGAAGCTGAGAGAGAGATAGTTTTTTTGGAAGAGATAAGCAAGGATATATTAAATTAAATCTGTAGTCAATTTTCCTTAAATTTAGCTATATAATTGGATCACATTAACAAAAATATTGGATTATTTCAAACAATTGAATGGCGGATTTCATGGGATCTATCATACAATTGTGATTTCATTGGTTACCAAATTGAAGATGTGGGACATGTTAAAAAATTCAAAAAGTTTTTACGAAATAAAGAAGCGGAAAAATTAGTATTATTAAGCGGAAAACGAAATGTTTTTTTTGAGATTGTTCAAATAATTTTTCTTCTCTGTATTATATATTAATAGATATTACTACTAACACTAACTTATTATAATTTTATATTAAATAGTATGTAGAAGTTACATACTTATAGAAAATTGTATTGTAATTTTTTTCTTTAAAATACATTTTTGCTAAAATAAAATATTTTTTTGTCGTTTTAAGTGATTTTTATCTAATATTAGTTAATTGGCATGAGTGTCATAATTAAACACACCTTGAATCACATAAACAATTGTTATAACAATAATAAAAATAATTGTAATACTTTTCTAACTAATTAATTGTATGTGCTCTCTAAATTACTAAATTACTAGTATTTGATCATGTGCATTTGTACAGATATAAAACACGTTTTTGTTTGTATTTATTAATCAGCTGTATTTACTAAATTACTAAATTGGCTGTGTTTTTGTATGTTGTACCTTTCAAGATTGTGGCTCTGCTTGTCGGGATTTACGTGTTGCGCCATCCTCGGCTGAGGTACAAGCTGCCACCAGCACCTGTCAACTTCTTTAAGAGGTTGCCTGCCAGGTCAGACTCACCAGCACCTGTCATCTTACTAAGTGTGTTCCATCTGTGGCTACTCCGGTAATCCATATCCTCTCTATTTTGCCTTCCATCCCCACATACGGAGTAAATGACTCGAATACAGTAGTCAACTCACGGCTACGTTTCTTTACAATGTTACTGGGAACTTTTTCATCCTTGCAGCAGGTGTTCCTGTTCAAATTTAGTGAACAAATTCCAATGTTCAAATTCAGAGAATTCGTTTTGAAGGCATGCGAGTGAGGACCATCTGCATACTCAAGCTTTTCGGGATATTTTGAATCTAAATTTAATTTCCCACAGGGAACAAAAGAATTCAATTTTGCCTGGTTGGATATGTTGGTAAAGTAAATGGCAATACCATGGTGATATCTTCATTTTTCCATTGGAAACAAAAGGATGTGAAATGAAAGGTAAAATCAGAATAAAAACAGCTTCAAAAGTCAATTCAAGCTCTTGTTTAAGGAAACTCTGTAATTTACATACACGCATGCGCACATACATATTTGCATGATAACAAAACTGACCAGGCCTAGGATAAAACTGTGATATGTGAACTTGAGCAAACTTGTACTCCTTGATTAGCTTGACAGTCTGTTCAAAATCTTCGTCAGTTTCCCCTGAGAAGCAGAGAAGAACAATTTACATGATGACAAATGTCATTGTGTCAGGACTGTCACAATCATCATATAAATAATCAAACCAAAATCCCTCATATTAGCCGAAAAAAAAAGGTCCCCAAAAGTAATCTTCCAAAAACAGGCATTACTTTTAAGATCTGTCAAGAAAGATATGATGAACTATCTAGACTAAATAAACTCCAAACTAATCCTATGAATTCTAATCAAATAAAAAACTGCAATGGTTGTTATCCATACCCAGACTTTCCAAACAATAAAACTTTGTAAATACACGGAAATGTTAACTTATTGATTCAACGTATGGATTCACTTGTAATAATTTGACATAAAGAAGTGAGTGATGATACCAATACATACCAGGAAATCCACATATAATATCTGTGGCTATCTGCATCCCAGGAACTAGTTCAATTAATGTATCAACCACTGTTCTAAATTCGCCCACAGTATACTCCCGGTTCATCGCCTGAATTTTAAGTTTAAACAATCTCAGTTCACCATAGTATCAAGGAATGTAATAATACGACAATTCACGCACAAGCAAACAAATGTTGTAGGAAGATGTGGTTCAGTACTTACAGTCAAGATGGTGTCACTTCCTGACTGAACTGGAACATGAAAAGAATAAACACAAGGATGGCGCAAAACCTCGGCTATCTCTTTCAGGTGCTCCAGAATATAAGGAGGATTAGTCATTCCAATTCGGAGCATTGTGCTCCCATCCGAAGGCATCTCTGCTACTAAAGAATTTAGCAAAATTGGAAGATTAACTCCAATATCACGACCTGTAAAATACACAAGTCAACACCATAAACTGAAAGCATTCATCCATCATTCATCCAAAAAATAAAAAATATCTAATCGTTTATCTGTCAGAGTCAAGCCAGACATAAAATAGTCACTTGAATAATATCCACTGAAATGATTGGAACTTGTTCAAGTAACACCTGCTTCCTTTCACAGTTTCTTGCTATTAAATAATTAACATCTTATGACAATTTGAAAGCCAAAGCAACTTCAGTGAGCTGAAATCCCCTATTTATATAATTTCAGAATAGGTTGAGCCTACGTGGCAAACTCTCAAGCTTCGGAATCCTATTTGGCGAAAAACCATGCTTTAGAGTTAGGCTTGGATATAAATTAATATTTTTATCACACTAAATTCATGAATGATTTTTTTTTTCTTTACTTCTACAAATAGTTACCATAAATTATTTTATATTTCTTTTCCCTACAATACCATACATTACATTTCAGTTTCTTAATTAATTTATTCGTTAGTATTATAAATGTTTCTTCTTCTTATTTTAAAATTTTATAACTTTTTTGTTTGTATTTTATTCTTTATATATGATATATCAAATTAACTATCTTTTAACGATTTTCGATTTGACATCCATATTATATATATAAAATACAAAATAGTAATATATATTCTTATAAACAAAATTTAAGTTTATTTATCAAACTAAATTAAAAGATATCAAATAAAACTATGAATTATATTATAAAAGTAATAAAAATTGGTATGCATTCTTTTCAAAATGATATTTATTTCAAATCTAATTGGTATGTTATCAATCTAATAAAAATAAATAATTATTTATCTAAATTCTAAAATTACATATAAAGTTAGAAAACTGTGAAGTACGACGGATACGACATTTGGTGTATTAGGCATCTAATTAAGTAAAAAATTAATCTGTTTTGCTTAATATTAAACAAACATATTCTGCACTTATGCATATATATATCACCATATTATTTCTATTTATTTATGATATATATTTTTTTACTAAATAATAGTAAATAATAGCGATAATTTTATATGATATAAGTAGGGCTGGTATCGGTACGGTTACCGAACCGATAACATTAAACCGATACCGAACCGAATAATTCGGTTTTGAAAAATTTGCTACCGAAACCGAACCGATATGAGTTCGGTTACCGAATATTCGGTAACCGAAAAATCGGTTCGGTAACTCATTCTTTTCGGTTTTTACCGAATTAAAAGAAAGAAAAAGAATAGGAAAGGACCAAACCGTTCTCAACTTTTCTTCACACAGATTTTCCTCAATCTACACCTTTCTGCAATCAATACAACTCTACACCAAGCCTACCAGCAAATCCAGTTATAATCAACCACAAGGACAAACAATTTTCAACAATTAGAGGTTCCAGATCGAGAACAAGAAGAAATTTAGGTTTAGCCCCCAACTCTAAACCCCAAAAATTGAGAATCAAACTCAGTTCGAGTACCCCTCTCGCCGTCAATTCATTGAATCGGGTCAGTGGCCGTTCGTCCGGTCGGGCTGGGAATCGCCAGCGGGATGCCGAATTCGCCAGATTTCGGGCCTAGATCTGATCCCCATCTTCTCTGGCCATATCCGCAACATCATTGGCTTTGGTTGATGTTGGTCCTTGCAGCCTTAATCTCCGTCGGTTTGAAGAAGCTCTGTTTGCTCAATGGAAAATGAAAGTAGTTCGGGCCAGAAGTTTGTTTGAGTTTATGAAGATGAATTGTGTTGTGTGAAATTAACTTTATTTGTTCTTAACTTGAGAGGAGAGTGAAATAGTTAAATATATATACACAACAGTAAGTTAAAATGCAGAGTGAATAGATATATGAGTATTATTATTAACTATTAAATATTATTATTATTATTATCATTTTTTGTTTTAATTTCTTATCGGTTCGGTTCGGTAAAACCGAACCTTTATGGTTTCGGAACCGATACCGAACCGATAACAAGTCGGTAACCGATAGTCGGTTACCGTTATAATTGAATCGGTTCGGTTCGGTTTATTTTGTCGTCGGTTCGGTTCGGTTCGGTTCGGTTTTCGGTTTTCGGTCAAAAAATGCCAGCCCTAGATATAAGTACAAAAATGCAATGAATTGAAATTTTTGTTTAATTATTATGATTAAAAAAATATAATTTAGCAATTTAATTAAAATCCAAAGTAATGTTTGATATAAAATTAAATTTTTTCAGTTCAAAATAAATTAATATTTTTTACATATGCTTCCTAATTCAACACCCGTGTATTTACATGGGTATTGTACTAGTGTCCACATAATTTCTCAAACTACTATTCGTTAATTCAATCTATCCAGGTTAGACAAGTTATGATGAAGAAAGTAGGTGCTGCGTACCGTATGCTCCAGTGTCTTCACTACTTAACCAGATCTCCTTGACACCATAGGCTATAACAGTTCTCACACGACCCACCTACGGCCATAAATATGATTGAGTATACTATAATTAAAAATAATTGATAGTTCAAGTATTTTTTCTGTACTCTCCATCAGTGGACTTACAAGGCTATCAACTGCGTAGCTTCCTAAACGACCACGAGCATGTTTTGTGTTGCAATAGGTGCAAGCACCTAAACACCCAACATTAATTGGAAGGATCTCGACAAACTTGTTTCTTCGAACCTGAAAAGAAGTGAATCATTAAAATAGCAGTAGAAGTAGTAATAATAACAACAAAAACATTAGCAGAGGAGATGAAATCAATGAGCCTAACATGACTTGAAAAACAAGTGTTTCAATTAAGAGACTTAATATGTAAATCATCTCTAGAATATCATTTACATACTGGATCACAATTACATCATGGTGGTAGGTAAAATAAAACAATATTTTCGCACCTTTGGGAGATCAAGTGCTGGTAATGTCCTCCGAGTCAAAAACCGAACCTCATGTCCTTTCAGGGTCTCCTCAACGACTTCTACCACTCGATCAATTTGCTGCACTCCAACTATGCTCACTCCTTCAAGCTCCTTTAGATCACGACTTCCTTGAGGAACACACCCGGCAACGACAAGAGGCTTTTTTGATTTTCTACATTTAGCTATAAGTGTTTCCATGGCAGACTGACTGGGAGACTTAACTGTACAGCTGCAAAAGAAAGAGCATGGGCATGCTAAAAAGTTGACCAAAAACTAAGTTTGAAGACATGAAAGTTCTCACACATGCACCCATCAATCACAACTAGGGAAACTATCTTAGGACACAAATTGCTATGGTAGTAAAATATCTATAATATATATTTTGATTATTCTAAAAGACATATCAAAAGAGATTTTAAATTTTCCAAAAAATTATATTTGGTAGGGAATAAGCCTTCTTCCATCATATAAAACAAATTGTTGGATTTGAAGATAAGCATCCAAAATCATTAAGATGTTAGAAACAGATACTTTTGACGATTTACAAACACTCCCATTCAGCAAATTATAGGAACCAAGAAGATATAACTAGAAAAGGCCATGAAAGGGTCTCGCGTGTTAATCAGCCATAGGTCGGCTTCATCCTGATTTTCGCTTAAACAGTATCCAAATGCAGAAAGATGCCCGGCCATATATTCACTATCACTCTGAAAATTGGATTTCAGAATTGTATTAAATTTAGATGAAAACCTCTTTCTATCTAGTGTAGACATATACAGCTGAAATAAAAGGAAGAAATGGGGAGCATGAGTTACACCCCTGATCTAATTTAGATTGTGAGATCCTACAACCCATTGAAGGGAATAATTCTAAGTGCAATCAGCTTGAACTTCCTGTTCATTTCAGATTAGTACCCTCTTTAACTGATCTTTTTCGTTCAACCGCAGCCAGCTGAAATGGCTGAAGTCTGAACCATTCGCTAAATATGAACAACAACAACAACAACAACAACAACAACAACAACAACAACAACATACCCAGTATATTCGCTAAATATGAAAAGAAGCTAAATTGGATAACCACCACAAAGTTATAAATCATTTTAAAATAACAATGCCACTAAGAGTTCCTCCAATTTGGTGAATGTCTACTTTCCGCAATTCACATGAGTACATGACTGCTAGCAGATGTCCACACAGTTCACTGTAGATGAGCTAATCCTGCAATATATGCCTTTCTTTGGATAACCAAACTCCGTAATATATAAACAAACTCCCCACTAACACGTGACAGCTATTGGAATACAAAAAATATGCCACCTTTACTTGCGGGCAACGAAAAAGGTTAAGATCTGAGCTTTTTTCAATCCGTCAGTAGGACGACTCTTTACAAGTGACAAAAAACCACTAGATTAAACCACATGAAGAACAAAGGCAATGGGTAATACTTCGCTACACACTGCTTTCACTTCATACGCAGATCGAAACAAATAAAAACAGCTAGAAAACAAATACTCAGCTTAAAAAAAAAAAAAATA